TTTTTTTTTTTTTGAAACAGGGTCTCTGGGTAGTCCTAGCTGTCTTACAACTCTCCATGTAGACCAGGCTGGCCTCAAACTCATAGAGATCCACCTGCCTCTGCCTCCTGAGTGCTGGGATTGCTCTCACTATTACTACTCCAGGATATGTGGATTTTTTCCTATGCAAGAATAGAAGAAGGGAGAAGTCTAGCTTGCTCTGTGTGTTGGTAACTTTTCTCATTGCTCTAACAAAAGCAACTGAAGGACATGGGGGATTTATTTGGGCTCACAGTTTGAGGGCATAGGAGTGTGAGAGGCAACTGTCACATTGTATCCTCAATGGCGGAAGTGGAAGCCAGAGACATGAAAGCCCTTGCTCCATTTGCTTTTCCCGTTTTGTTCAATCTGGTACCCCAGCCTGTGGACTGGTGCCGCCCACGTTTAGGTTTGGTCTCCCCACCTCAGTTAACCTGTTCTAGAATTGCCTTACAGACATGCAGAGGAAATTCTGGGTCCTGCCAGGCTGACCATCAGTTTTAACCATGGCCGAAGTGCATTGGTGAATAAAGGGGAAATGAAGTGTAGAATTGTTGCAGGGTATCTGACCACACTCTCCACCGTGAGATTGTGTTATTTACTGGAAAAACCTGTTTCTAGCTGAGGTGTAGCTCAGCCCTAGCTCACATTTTTAATTCAATAACTTTCTGTTGAATATTGTAAACAGGATGCAATAAAGTCAACCATAGGTCAAGAGGTAGAAGAAGCAACCAGTTGACAGGAAGTAAACATAGAATTATTAAACAAACAAACATAGAGGGTAAGATGGAGTCTGGAGGGCAGATAGAGAGATAGACGCACAGGAAGTAGAAGAGCGCGACATTGAGTTTGAGGAGTTCGGATGGAGACAGTGGAGAGAGGGAGAAGGCTTCTGCTTCTGGGGCGTCAGCCGAGGAAGAATGTCAGCTGACTGTTCTCTCTGCCTCTCTGAGCTAGCCTGCTTCCACCCCAGCATCTGGCTCCCAGGTCTTTATTGGTAAAGTTGAATGTCTGAGATTTTGTTAAAAACAACATAGGCTAATTGGAGCAGAACTGAGAGGTGAGGTGATGAGAGACCATGGAGGGAAGGCCACTGGATTGATGACTGCTAAAATCCTGATGGGCCAAACGTGTAGCTCGGTGGTAGGGTACATACTAGCTAGCATGTGTGAGGCCCTGGGTTCAATCTCTGGTACCAAAGGGGAAAAAAATAATAAAAGAAAATATTGAAGCCCTCTGTTCTATCTTAATTCATGTTGCTATGATAAAACCTCTGACCAAAAAGCAACAAAGGGGAGGAAAGGATTTACTTGACTTACACTTCCGTGTCACAGTCCCTCACTGAGGGAAGTCGGGGAGCCTGGAGGCAGGGACCATGGAGAGGAAGCTTGCTTGTGGGCTCATCCTCTGGCTTATACTCAGCTAGCTTTCTTGTATAGCCCAGGCCCACTTTCTTAGGGATAGTACCGCCCATAGTGGGCTTGGCCCTTACACATCAACCATCAATCCTTCATAGACATGGTCACAGGCCAACCTGCTTGGGCTATCCCTCAGTTGAGGCTCAGGTGACTCTAGGCTGTGTCAAGCAGGCAGCTAAAACTAATGAGGGCATGCTCAGGCACTCTGTCCAGGTTTCAGAACAGGTGATGCCGTTTGTACAGTGGGAGGGAGTCAGACTTGAGTGCCATATTCTGAGGCCCAGGCAGGTGGGATTCCTTTAGTTAGTAACCCTTTTTTGAGTCTCTTCTCTAAGTAGTTGTGACTCCTCTTAGACACCAGAGGGCACTCTTGAGGCTCTTCTGGGCAGCTTGTCATGGCCGCTGGCACTGAATGTGATTGTTTACTATGCCGCAGGCTGGGCCGGGAGCTCTGGAGAGGTGCCCTGTTTCTGCAGTGCCAGGCAGGTGGCGCCACAGACATCTACAGTGCCTGTTTGTTTTGATTGCTTACTGTGTTTTAATCCCCTTCCTTGGACAAAACGGAACCTTAACTTTTTGGTTTTAGAATTAATCTTTTCCCTTATATTTTGGCGGGACATTAAATCAAGAAGCATTTTACCATGGCCAAGAGTGGGCAGATGATCTAGCAAGGGCACTCGCAGAAGCTCTGAGAGTGAATGTGTGTGTGCTACGTGTGTGTTCATCTGTGTGTGTTCATCTGTGTGCGTGTCCATCTGTGTGTGTCCATCTGTGTGCGTGTCCATCTGTGTGCGTATCCATCTGTGTGTGTCCATCTGTGTGTGTCCATCTGTGTGCGTGACCATCTGTGTGTGTGTCCATCTGTATGCATGTTCATCTGTGTGTGTGTCCATCTGTGTGTGTGTCCATCTGTGTGTGTCCATCTGTGTGTGTCCATCTGTGTGCGTGACCATATCTGTGTGTGTCCATCTGTGTGCATGTCCATCTGTGTGTGTCCATCTGTGTGCATGTCCATCTGTGTGTGTCCATCTGTGTGCATGTCCATCTGTGTGTGTCCATCTGTGTGCATGTCCATCTGTGTGTGTCCATCTGTGTGCATGTCCATCTGTGTGTGTCCATCTGTGTGCATGTCCATCTGTGTGTGTCCATCTGTGTGCATGTCCATCTGTGTGTTCATCTGTGTGAGTGTCCATCTGTGTGTGTGTCCATCTGTGTGCGTGTCCATCTGTGTGCGTGTCCATCTGTGTGTATTCATCTGTGCGTGTCCATCTGTGCGTGTCCATGTGTGTGTTCATCTGTGTGCGTGTCTATCTGTGTGCGTGTCCATCTGTGTGCGTGTCCATCTGTGTGTATTCATCTGTGCGTGTCCATCTGTGCGTGTCCATGTGTGTGTTCATCTGTGTGCGTGTCTATCTGTGTGCGTGTCCATCTGTGTGCGTGTCCATCTGTGTGTATTCATCTGTGCGTGTCCATCTGTGCGTGTCCATGTGTGTGTTCATCTGTGTGCGTGTCTATCTGTGTGCGTGTCCATCTGTGTGCGTGTCCATCTGTGTGTATTCATCTGTGCGTGTCCATCTGTGCGTGTCCATGTGTGTGTTCATCTGTGTGCGTGTCTATCTGTGTGCGTGTCCATCTGTGTGCGTGTCCATCTGTGTGTATTCATCTGTGCGTGTCCATCTGTGCGTGTCCATGTGTGTGTTCATCTGTGTGCGTGTCTATCTGTGTGCGTGTCCATCTGTGTGCGTGTCCATCTGTGTGTATTCATCTGTGCGTGTCCATCTGTGCGTGTCCATGTGTGTGTTCATCTGTGTGCGTGTCTATCTGTGTGCGTGTCCATCTGTGTGCGTGTCCATCTGTGTGTATTCATCTGTGCGTGTCCATCTGTGCGTGTCCATGTGTGTGTTCATCTGTGTGCGTGTCTATCTGTGTGCGTGTCCATCTGTGTGCGTGTCCATCTGTGTGTATTCATCTGTGCGTGTCCATCTGTGCGTGTCCATGTGTGTGTTCATCTGTGTGCGTGTCTATCTGTGTGCGTGTCCATCTGTGTGCGTGTCCATCTGTGTGTATTCATCTGTGCGTGTCCATCTGTGCGTGTCCATGTGTGTGTTCATCTGTGTGCGTGTCTATCTGTGTGCGTGTCCATCTGTGTGCGTGTCCATCTGTGTGTATTCATCTGTGCGTGTCCATCTGTGCGTGTCCATGTGTGTGTTCATCTGTGTGCGTGTCTATCTGTGTGCGTGTCCATCTGTGTGCGTGTCCATCTGTGTGTATTCATCTGTGCGTGTCCATCTGTGCGTGTCCATGTGTGTGTTCATCTGTGTGCGTGTCAATCTGTGTGTGTGTCCA